ACTAATATCGATATATTTTTGTCAAATTTTTATGATATCGTCAACATATATTTTATTCAAAAATAAAAACATCATCGCTTTCTCAAAATCACATAAAGCCATATTATAACATCGACTGGGATAAAGAATAAAATGAAATATTAAAAACACGATGTATCTCGCTGCATTGCGCGAGTACGCTTCTAATATTATATTAACCACTATTTTGGACCAATATATCACCGATATATCATCGATATAACCGAAATATCGAATATCGGTCCTGACCGATATTTTGTATTTTGACAACAGTAACAAAATATCCTGACCGATATTTTGTATTTTGACAACAGTAACAACATAGATGCCACCCAAATCAAACGAAATTAATAAATCTTATGCAAAGTAGGGTCCGAGTAATGGAGAGGTTATTTCTATATAGAAAGAATCATAAAAAAAGATTTTGTGAGAAAAATGGAAAAATTCTTTCAAAAGTTCGAAAGTGAAACGAATAAAAGAAAGTAACAATAACAAATAAAAATATAGAAAACTAAACGACGACGTTAAAACTTAAAAGCATACTAAAAGGAAACGGAGCACTAAACTAACGAAAGAAAGTGGACCCTCCTATAGCTGTGCTACCTACCTTCTAGAGCATCTCCAACAGATTCTCCATCAAAAGTAAACTACATTCAACTCCAAACAGTTTATTCATTTTGGAGATTATAACATTAATTATATTATTAAAATATTTAATACAGTAAACAAAATATTATTCTCCGTAGTAAATATTTAACGTCAAGAATTCTCATCGGTAGGAAAAACAAGATGACTAAAGCTGCCTTGTCCATTCTTAGTTACACCTCCCACATCCTTCGACGCCTGCTCCTCCTTCTCGTCACCGGTGTTGACGTATGTCGTTTAAATAAAGATCTTCTTTTAATTAGTTCAATGTAACATTCGATGAACCCAAAAGATCGAGATTCATGTAAAATTTGCTTATGGAATTATCCATTTAATTGTTCATCTTATTAGGGATAGTGAAGAACCACCAAGTATTCTAGCAAAGCATACAAAGTACCAAGAGTTTGAGTTTGGCTCCAAAGGTCAAAAGTACCATGAGGTCTCAGGTTCAAATCCAAGAAGAATAAAAATCCTCTTGTGGCCACGGAGGTTCAAATGCGGTGACTCCAGGCTATCTGCAAAGCAGGTGGTCTCCCTGGGATTAGTCGGCTCGCATAGCGGATTGGATATCCAGGTTAATAAAAAAAACACATACAAAGTGCATAAGGATAGAAAGTTACCTAAACTGCAAGTTTCCTTCACTTCCATTATTCTTGATGGACAATGTTTGTAGCTTCACCACCAAGCCTGCAAATTTCATTCACCAAAGGTCCTCATATACATGTCCTTTGGTTAAATGACTTTCTGACAAGTTTCTTTTAAATCCACGACTTTCTGACAGGATCACAAATGTCCCACCTTAAGAAAGAAGAATGCCACTTCCATATACAAGAACGCCATGAAACATGTTAGAAGGTTATTTTGTGAAATAGATTATCATTTAAGGTCAATAGCGTAAATAGTCGCCTCATTGAAATCTAGCTTCCAATTTCAGCTCAAAATAGTGTGCTTCATATGTTCAAGAACAGGCTGACGAAACCATCACCAGAAATCTCCACAAGAGCATGTTCCGTTTTTAAATAGATGGAACCGGACAGCATCCCTTACAAGAATCTCTCTTTGTGTTATCTTAGAAATGAACTTAGTTGCAGTATGACAATCCCCACATACCCGGAGGTTTTTTACTACTCTTATCGGCAGGTTCTGAGGAATAAATAACAATCCAAAAGCAATAGCAAGTTTCTCGCTGTGATGATTAAGCATTGTTATTTTTTCAGACTCGTCTACGTTATGAAGAGCAAACCTCATATCAGGTACATAGCCTTCATGTATCATCTTAAAGTTCAGTTTTTCGAGCTCAGAATATATCTTTTCTGAATATGGACTTGATCTATCATCGGCCGAGAAAACGTGCACTTTATTCTTATATTTGATCCAACTAAAACCGGGTTCTTTTCTTATATCTTTATGTTTCATTTCTCTCCTCAACTGAGCTACTTCATCCCATTTGCCTTTAGCAGCATACATACTTGATAGCAGCACATAACTTGCCGGATTCTGAGGCTCTAATTCCTGTAAAGACTTTGCTGCCCATTTACCAATATCCAAGTTACCATGAGATCGGCATGAGCTGAGTAACGTAGACCAACCAAATGCATCAGGGCTGAAAGGCATATCATTTATGAAACATTTAGCATCCTGAAGCTGTCCAGCCCTGCTAAATAGATCAATCATGCAACTGTAATGGTCTGAAACTGGCACAATTTTGTATTCTTCCACCATGGACTTGAAATAATGGCGTCCTTTTTCCACTAGTCCTGCCCTACTGCATGCCGAAAGGACGCCAATGAAAGTTACTCCATCGGGCCTCAGGTGACTGGCCAACATTCTGTCAAACAAGTTTATTGTTTTATTGGCTTCCCCAAATTGGGAATACCCTGAAATCAAAGCAGTCCAAGACACTTCATCCCTTATCTTCATTTCATCGAACAATTGATTAGATTTCTCAGTGGTTCCACATTTACCATAAAAGGTCACAAGGGCGTTAGAAACTGTGAGAAATGAAATCAAACCTGATACTTGTGCTTGACCATGAAATTGAGCACCCTCTTCTAAGCTGGCAAGATTTGCACATGAGCTTATTACACTTCCGAGTGTAAATTCATCTGGCTCTATGCCATTTCTCTGCATCTCACAGTAGATCCTTACTGCTGCTTCACTATGCCCATTCTGGCCATAACCCACTATCAGTGCAGTCCAAGATACGATATTTTTATATTTCAGCCTACTAAATACTCTTTCTGCATAAGTAAGGCGTTTACACTTCAAATACATGTCAACAAGCGAACTTCCAACGTACACATTATCTATAATATCGGTCCTTATGATATAAGCATGAATTTGAGAGCCTTCTTTGAGAGCGGTACTTCCTCCACAAGCTGTAAGAATGCTTCCAAGGGTAAACTGGTCTATCCCCAATCCCTGCATCCTCATTTCCCTGAATATATCAATTGCTTTTTTATCTAAACCATTTTGGGTAAACCCTGTAACCATCGTTGTCCAAGTGATTGAATCTTTTTCTGGAATACAATGAAATAATTGCTCTGAAGCTTCAATCATGCCACAACGAAGAAGACCCATAATCATTGTATTATACAGTACCACATTCCTTTCAGGCAATCCATCAAAAACGCATCTCGCATCATCTATAATACCTGCTTTCGAATACATTTCCACCAGTGGACTACCCACAAATAGATAAGACTCAAACCCATAAATCACTACTTGAGCATGAATTTGCTTACCTAAACCAATTAGCCCATTGTTTGAAGATAAAATAAGCATAGTCGAGAATGTAATCCTATTCAAATTCACAGCTTTTCCATCTTTCAACATCAATTTATACGACGCCACTGCTTTATCACAAGAACCAAAAGAAGCGTAACCAGAAATCATTGAATTCCATGACACACCATCTCGTTTTGGCATGCTATAAAAGATCTTTTCCATTTCCAAGATGTTCCCAGATTTCGAATAAGCTGAAAGCAGGGTGTTCCATGAAAATAGATTCGGTTGAGGAATTTGATCAAACACTTTGCGTGCATAAGCAATATTTTCCAGTTTATAGTAACTACTGATGAAATTATTGAGCAAAAAGGTCTCGGTATCGACTAGGGTTTTTAGTATAACGCAATGGAGCTTCTTTGCTTGAAGTTGATTACGGGTTTCACAACAGAGCTTGAGCAAAGAACAGTAGTAGTTTGATATAGAAAAACACATACCCACTTCGAAATTGAAGATCATAAGACGATACAAAATCAAAGATTGCAAAAAGATACAAAATTAAGAGCGGGAGAGAGAGACACTTACGAGAGAGACACTTACGATTACTGGAAGAAAAGTAGTGGGCTTTTTGAAGATCGACGCAAGAAGTTGTAAAGTTGAAGAGCAATCGAGTGAACTATGGTGTGAAATTTAGGAGAAATGGAAAAAAACCCTAAAAGAATCACATTTTCATGTAAATATGGATTGAATAAACTCAATAAACATTATTTTTTAAGACCTGATTGATCAATGTTTTGATAACTTGATTAAGAAAATATCGAGATATATAACGAAATATGATAACTAAATATTTTCTTTTCATTAAAGTACAACATAAAATGACGAGGAATTTAGATTGATGGACTTATCAACATCATTCATATTCTCTGACATATCAATTTGTTGTTGTTGTTGTAAAAAAAATTCTATAATTTTCTCTTATTAATTAAATTATTTATCATCATTCTCTGACCGTGAATATCTTTTGGTAACCTATACATTTAGCTAAAATAAAATACAAACATAATATCAATAAAAATTATATAAAATTTATACATTATTAATATATATATATATATATATATATATACACGTAATAAACATATATATAAAAATTATATATTATTGGCGGGTTAACAGGTTGGAAGGGTTGAGATAGGCACAACCCAATTTCAATCCTCTTAATTGGTGGGTTAACGGTTTACTGGGTGGACGGTTTGGCAATTAGATGGGTTGGGTTTAATTGGGTTGTTAACGAGTTGGATTGGACGGATTTCACGAATTGACGGTTTTTTTTACACCCTGACTATTTTATTAAATTGAATGGATGGTCATGACATGTTCCCTTCTAAATCTACTTTTTGGTTCTTGATAAATCTACTTTTATAAATAATAATAATAATAATAATAATAATAATAATAATAATAATAAAGTACAATTGTAAAAGGGGGTGAGGGTGTCAACTTAAATGCATTTTCTTTCTAATATAAGATCTGGAAGATTATATTTACAGTGAAATGATGCGCTGATATCTGTTTAAAGATATTTTCTAACATAATTAAACCTTCATCTGATCTTTATTTGATTGGAATAACTAAAAAATAGGAAAAGCTTGCTCCTTTTCGGTTGTCAACTAACTTAATCTGATTGTCTGCAAATAACTGTGAAACAAGATAACTTGTTTAAACCCAGTCAATCACACAACAATATGTTTTACGAGATGACAAAATCAGACTCTCATAAGATCCATCAAGATCCTCAAAACATCTGTTGAACTCACATATCGTGTCATCACAACGTAATTTGAACGATACGACATGTCTCTCAAGAACTGTAAGATAAATAAACCATCTTCAGGAATGCTCGTCTATCTGAGGCATGAGCGAGTCAGGCCTCCTTCACGATACTTCTTTGCAACATCACCAAAGAGAAAGATACGTATAAATGTTATATTTAATGAAAAACTATGAGTAGTTTTTCGATAAAGTAAAAGGTTCAAACCTCACAAAAAAACGAGAATTATACCAGGGTTGATTCATTGATTTTGTTCATATAAACATTATATATATATATATAGAGAGAGAGAGAGAGAGGCGAGTTATTATACAACTCTTTACATTTGTACAACCAATACAACTCAATCTCAACATATCGAAATCATGAGTAATCATTGTGATAAATGTGTGATTGTCTAACCCTAACCGATCGAAACCATGATCAAATGGAGTGCACTGTTATGATAGTAATATCACATGATTATCACACTCTTATCATACCAAATCGGTAGTCGATTTCCTAAGTTAACCTTAGCCAAGCAGAATCTTTGTGATAATTGTGTGATAATCATATGATTATCACACCCAAATCACACCAAATCGTGTTGAAATAAACGATAACCATAATATCCCATTATGTTATCCAAATTATTGGGTTTAGTGTGATCGTGTTTTTAAAATTTTATCACTTTGAATTCCAATATTACCCTTTTGCCTCTCAAATCTTTTTGAATTGTTTTAATTTCATTTTTAATTTAAAAAATCTTTTAATTTTTATTGTTATCACAATATGAGGTTAATAGGTTGTTCTCGTAAATCACAGGGGGTTTTCGTTTGAACCCTTCCCTATATATATATATATATATATATATATATATATATATATATATATGTGGTTATTATACAACATTTCACATTTGTACAACCCAATCTCAACCGTTCATTTAATTTGATTAATGTGTAATTTCATAAAAGTTTTGATTGTTTCATAATATAAAATATTGATCATAATTAATGAACTTTATTCATCTTCCGTAAATATTTAAATCATAATAAATGAACTCTCATCATTTTCATAAATATCTCAATTTATTGGGTTGCATTGGTTGTACAAATGCGACAAGTTGTATTTGAAACAAACTATATATATATATATATATATAGAGAGAGAGAGAGAGAGAGATGTTGGTTCCAATAGAAACCAACCATATGGTATAAACTATAGAAACCAATCTTGACCAATCACATGCTTTCTTCACTTTAGGTTCAAATCTAAATTATAAATTAATGATAAGGGTAATTTGGTAATTCAACCTTTTTGTAACCCCCAATAATTAATTGGGAGTTACAAATCTTAAAAGATACATCTAATTGTTCATGAGATTTTTATGATTTCTTTATTATTTCATGTTCATGGTATT